GGAGCCTTGGTGATTTGGTGGAGTACGCATTCAGCTGTTAACCACAAAGTCAATGGTTTGAACCCACCAGTCACTCCTTCAGAGAAAGATAAAGCATAAATCATTATGCTTTCATAATGATTTAAAGCCTCAGAAACCCAAAAGGATGAGGGCAGGTCTGCTTTGTCCTATGGAATTGTTAATGAGTTAAAATCAATTCATTGCCAGTGAGTTTGGTTTGTTGTTGCTGCTGCTGTTGTGATTAGATGGTGTTGAGTCAGTTCTAACCCATAGTGAGCCTCTACAACAAAAGGAAACACTGCCCAGTCCAGCACCATGCTCAAAAGTGTTCCTATGCTTGAGGTCACTGTGCCAATCCATCTTATTCAGGGTCTTCTCTTTCACTTCCCTTCTACTTTACCAATATGATGTCCTTCTCCAGGGACTGGCCTCTCATGACCATGTGCCCAAAGTACACAAGGCAAAGTCTTGTCATCCTTGCCTCGAAGGAGCACTCTGGGCTTGTGTGGTAGTTACATAATCTGGTGTCAATTGGAGAGGATTAAGAGTGAAGATGGGAAGTCTAGCCTGTCAATCAAGATATAACCAATGAGGCGTCTGTGTGGGCGTGGCCTTCTCATGAGAGTTTCTGGTTTTCCTCCTTGAAGGCAGGAGAGATTCTCACTCTGCTCACTCCCTTGGAGGCTCTCTACTGATAAGGCAAGACATCCCTGAGGAGAAGCCATATGAACCTACTCTGATGCAGCCCTGGGTGCTGGAAACACCACGTGGAGACCCCTGCCAGTGCAGAGATGCTTACACTGCCACTGGATCTACCACTGGCCTGTGATCGTCCTGCATATGGCACCATTACATGTGTTTCATGAGGCTGAAGGACTTTATAGATCAGTATCGGTCATATGGGCTGATATCAGACTACGGGCTTAGACTTGACTGTACTGGGATGCTTTCTTAATATAAAACTCTCTCATACACGACTTTCTATGGATTTGTTTCTCTAGTCTACCCAGACTAACACGCCTTACTTCTTCCAAAACAGATTTGTTTGTCCGTTATGGCAGGCCATGGTACTTGCAATATTCTTTACAGCCACAAATCAAATACATAAAATCTTCCTCTGTCTTCCTTATTCCAATTTTCACATGCATGTGAGGCCAATGAAAATACCACAGCTTGGGTCAAGTGCAACTTAGTCCTTGCTTTTCAATGCTCTAAATAGGTCTTGTCAAGCAAAATTACCCAATGCAATGCATCTTTCGATGTCTTGACTGCTACTTCCATAAGCATTGATGGTGGATCCAAGCAAGACAAAATCCTTAACAACCCCAATCTTTTTCCCGTTTATCATGGGTGTTACCTACTGGTCCAGCTGTGAGGATTTGGGTCTTCTTCACATTGAGTTGTAATCCACATGAAGGCTACAAGACATAATCGTCAACAGCAAGTTCTTCAAGTCCTCATTTTTAGCAAGCAGTGTGTCATCCGCATAGCATGGGACATTAGCTCCAATCTGGGTGCCACGTTCTTCTTCATAGAATCCACCTTCTTGATGATTTGCTCAGCACACCGATTGAGTAAGTATGGTGGGAGGGTACAACCCTGACACACAGTTTAGTGATTTTGAGCTTGGTTTGGAAGAGGTAATCTTGATAGACGTTCTTGAAGAATACAGAACAATCACAGGGACTTATTACAATGAAACTTTCAGAAAATTAAAAAGTATACTGGTGAGAAAAGGCCATAAGAGTTGGACCAAGAAGTATTTTTCCACCTTGAAAATGAATCTGTTTAAATTGGCATTCTATGATGCTCACCTTCCCAACACAACCACTGAAGACAAAGCAGGTGAATAAGCAAA